TTGTTATTCTAAAGCTTTTTAATAAACTTCTATTCCTGCTTTGGAATATATATATATAATATATATAATCAGTATTTTTAATTATAGAAAAAATTCTTTAAGCTCTTTATCAAAAAGTAATTATTTTAGCTTATTATTATTATTATTATTTTTTTAAATGTGCACAAATATTGTCTCTTAGCATGCCTTTAAATATTATTTATAAAATACAAATTTTTATTTAGATAATGAGTGAAAATTACTTTTTGAAATATACCATAAAATAGTATAAGAGGGTGACTTAGAAATTTTTGAGGATAAAATTCAGTTATTAAATGATATTGCACATTTTGATATATTTTTACAGTGTTAAGTGACTGCCCTTTCAAAACTCAAAATGCCTTTTTCTGTTTGAAAGCACCAGGCCCTTTTTTATACCTAGGGAGAGCTCTGTAGACTATTATATATGTTTGGTATAACGTATAAAAGTTATATTATAAACTATTTATATATTAATTAAACTTTGTAATGGTAGGATAATTTTCATTAATATATTTTAATTCAAACATTTTCCCATAATATTTAAATTGGTTGAGAAAGAGCTATTATAAATGTCAAACTGTTTTTCATTTTAGGTAGTGCTTAACACATCATAGTATATTACTTTTAAGTTGAATATTTATGTGTCTTTCTTTGAAAAAATATTTTTAAATCATGTTTATTAAATTGAAAAATAAATTTTATTCATTTTATTAATACTTAGTGAACTGTTATTGTTGTTAAAAAGTCTGTGCCTAATAAATTTTTAATTTTTTTTAAATAACTACTGAAGTAAATATAAGAGTAACCACTATTTTTTGTACTTGTTTCCTAATTTATATTTTTACTCAAAAATTTTTTTTTCAATTTTCTACAAAACTTTTTCTTTTTTTAAAAAAAAATTTTATTAGTTAATTTTATAAAACTTATCAGTTTTGTAAGTGTAGGTTATATTTAGATTTTTTTTTTTTGTAATAAAATAAATATTAGTATAATTTTGTTGCCTTTATTTGATTCTATCATTACTGGGTCTGTAATTATTTATAATAATAATAATTATTTTTGAATAATACTGTAGAAAAGTATTTTTCTTACCAGGTTGTCTTAACCTGGAAAAAGTCTGAGAAATTTTTCAGACCCAAGAAAAAAATTAGGAAATATTTAATTTAGAATTCCTTATAGAATTTTTTTTTTTTTTTTATTACACTTTTAAATCTCAATTTTTTTTTTTTTTAAATTTGGAGAAATATGTATATTTTACTTCCTTGTGCAATTAATTTTGAGACTCTTTTCTTTTAATCAAAGAATTCTTTCCTAAATTAGTGTATTACGTGAAAAACACATTCAGTCATAGTTATTAATTTAATTTATACATATATTTTAAAAAGAACATGTGTTATTAAGTGTTCAACGGAAAAATAACTGAATAGTAATAGAAAAATGCTAATTAAATGTATATATTAAAATAAAATCTAGTCTTCGAATTCATTTTAGTATCCATTATATTGTTTTCTTAATTGATTTGATTTTGTTAAACCTAACTATATTTTTATAAATGTATATCTTTATTTTGTAATTTAAACTTACAAATTTCTCTTTTAGTGACATTGTTAGAAAACATCTAATTTAGGCATGTGTTCTTTAAGTTTAAATTTTTGTCATAGGTTTTATGCTGTTTAATAATTTACTAATTAGTGAACATGAGAAATTATTGTGATAATAGCAATTATAGAAATTTTAACATATAAGTGAGTTAAATTTCATATTCTGCCTGATATCATGATAGAAAGTGGGATTCTAACTGACTACAGTTATGTAGCTATTTTAAGATTAAAAAATATGTTCATAAAAAGTTATTTAATTGTTCTAAAATATGCGACCTGGGTTAGAAATTTATTGTGTTATGTCTTGTGGCTTTAGTGCTGAGCTCATTAGTAAATATAATTAACTTCTTATTTGTCTTTAATGTAGTATCTAACTTTTATTGCTTAACAGGGAAGTTGTAAAGTTTTTTATTTTCAGTGCTTTGTTACAATTAACAGCTGGGTATTTTTTCTTTCTTTCTTAGAGGCATTTTTACTTTTTAATTCCACAGTTGGAGTTTTTTTTATTTTTAATAATAACAAAAGTTAATAATGAGTAGAGTAAGGTGGAACTGTTTTTAGATAATGCAAACAGGCACAACATATGGCTCACAACCAAAAGTGATTCTCAAAACCATGTTCTAGGCCCCTTTTAGCCATGCTCTGTAACTCGGAGAGTTACTGATCTCGTTTACAGCTTTTCTCAAAATATCATAATTTGACTATATTTTTTAATGATTTTTATAGCCCATGGCATTCCTGAGATGATAATTTTTATAAATTTTATTTTTCATTAGATTTTCACCAAACTGATATTAGCCTATGGTTTAAACATTTCTAAGAAAAAAATAATTCAAAGAATCAACATATTTTTTTTATTTCATTAATAAATACAAGGAACTAAAACAAAACATAATACACAAGTTCTAAGTTCAAATTTAAATTTTTTATGCATAAAAAATATTTAATTTACCATTAGTTTACTATCCCAAATTATCTCGGGCAAATGAAAAAAGTTAANCTAACTATTTCCATCAATTTATGTTTTGTAGAACAAAAATAGAGAAAGTAAAAATGTCATCAGTACTTTGTTAAAAAAGGAAAAACAGAAATAATTTTAAACATAGTCGACAATAAAATGGATGTATATTGTTTATATTTGCCGCTGATCGGCAAATAAAAATTCTATCCGCGGGTCGGATAAAATCCTCCGGCGGGCCGTAGTTTTCCCATCCCTGGTTTAAACATTTCTAAGAAAAAAATAATTCAAAGAATCAACATATTTTTTTTATTTCATTAATAAGTACAAGGAACTAAAACAAAACATAATACACAAGTTCTAAGTTTTTTATGCATAAAAAATATTTAATTTACCATTAGTTTACTATCCCAAATTATCTCGGGCAAATGAAAAAAGTTAAATATTAGTCTTTGTATATGTTCACATCTGAAAAATCATCTGCATTACTTTCACTTGCAAACGCCATTTTTTCACCCTTTTTTCTGTACAAATTCGTCAACCATTGTATATAGAGTATATACAATTATACAAAACACATCTGCAGTCCCGAGAATGACAAAACTCTCAAACAAATATTGGCGAACTTCCAATCACAGTAGATTATTATTATTTTTTGTTTTGCTTTCTGCCCAATAAAAACGTGATAAAACAAAACGTATTGACGAATTCTGCTATACCCTAGTTTACACGGGTTAATAATTATTTAAGAGAACATACCCGAGTTAACTCGGGATAATCAAGTAAGCGGTTAATTTAATGTGTAAAAAATATTAAACTAAATTGATTTATAAATCTTTATTTATCAGTCAAAGATTACACCAATAGTAAAATCATTTTCATGAGTAAAATTATGGGTGCTTCTGGAGCAGGTTTCATACAATTTACAAATTGTACTTGGGTGCTCCACTATCTTTTGTTTCTTAAAATTTATTTTTCTTGTTGAATACTTTATTTATTAATTTTTTAAATCCTTATTTTATATTTGGTTTTACGTGAAAAAACAGTACAAAATTTCATTATATTTCTCACTAGCTATTCTTGTCTATAAAAAAGAAGAGTGTTTAGGGCTTCATTTCTTTTTTATTATTTGAAAAGTTACTCCTAGGCTGCATTGCTTGGACATTGCTAAAATTCAAAATTATTCATTGATTTCAATAATTTTTTTAAAAAGTTCTTGCCAAAATGGCAACAGTTGGGCAAGACTTGACATTGCCCAACTGTTGACATTGACTTGCCCTTTAACTTCAAGTTTAAGACAGAGGAACTCTGTTTTTATATTTTTGTTTGACAAAAGAGCTTCAAAAAATCACTAATTGATTTTCTAATCAGTATTTGGCTATTTTTATTGCTGAATAATATTTTGGTGCATTATTATAACAATTTTTAAAATTGCAATGTTTTAAAGTTATTCTTAAAAAAGTTTTCAAAAAAAAGCTCATGCATATTGAAATAAAATATATATATATAATAGAAAAAAAAAGTTTCATATTCAAAAGATCGAATGAAAAGCAACTGTAACTTTATTTTTTATTATTAATATTATTTCGTGTGGTTTCTAAAATTAAAGCAAGAGAAAATTGGTTTCATAATTATCTGTATATAAGTAGTTCAGGTGCTAAACTTACTCACTGCACTTATGTAAAAAAAATATTGTCATCAAGTTTTTCATATTTTCACTGCTAACACAATACTAGTTTAATTTCTGTTAATATATTAATTTTTATTAAAAAAATCTAGATAACTTGATTTGTTGTAAGATCATTTCTCAGTTTTTATGTCACATGTAATACATGAAACTTATATATTTGTTAAAAATATATTTTGCAAGTATGTGTACCTAAAACAGCTTTATACAAATTTAAATTCATAGAAAAAATTTTATTCATAACCTTAGAAAACAAACTGTGTAAAGTTATTTCTAACTGTCCCTTGGCGGTGAAATTACTCTATCATTTTTCCTCTTTCCCACATAATGTCTAAAAAGCAGTTAGCGAGTTTTATCTTTTGGTCTAGTCAAATATTTGTTGATTGAAAATAATGAATGATCTCTTCTTCTTATCTTTAGAAGCCTGTCAAGCAACTTAAAGAAGAATTTGAAGAGACACCTTTTATAATTGTTTTATATATATATTTGTGTTATGCTGTCCTTACTGTATTTGGATACCTCCGAGACTTATTACGTAGTATTGGGTTGGAACGAAACTTTATGGCTAAAGAAGTTAACAGAGAAGTAAGTATCACTCTGAATTAAAAATATTTTAATTCTAAACCAGTCTGGTAATTGGAAAAAAGTAACTTCCACCTGAAACAAAAAAATTACATTAAAAGTTTATTTCATGAAGTTTGTAACAATGTCATCAAATGTGTCATCAACATATTTAAGGTTATCATTCTACAGATCCTTACAAGTTCTGAATTTTTTTTTTCTATGCATAACAGATTTCAAACCTTAAGAAATATCTTATTTGGGCTTGAAATTTGTTTTGCAATTTATACATATAAGATTAAACTTGTTTATAAAATTATAATTCATTTAACGAAAAATTGAAATACACCTCCAAGTTCACTTAGGCAATCAACCAGGGATTGTGATTCATGATTTAAATCTTGTGATTTAAAAAAAAAAAAAAAAAAACTATTTAACCAATAGTTTTTAAAAATAAATAATTGAGTCTAAAATATTTTTATTTGATATTATCAGGGGTCTGTCTAGGTTTTTTTTGAAAGGTACCTATTTTGTGAAAATTTAGACATGATTTGTGAAGATTAAATATTATATTAAAAAATTGACACAAAAATATGGTAAAGTAAGAAAATAGTTTCAAAAATTGTCACTACAAATAAAAATCATTTATGACTGATAAGATTCTATACAATTTTCCCATATATTCAAAAATAATTTTGCTATTTTAAAATTTTATACAAATTTAAAAATTGATAAAAACCTTTGTCCATAGTTAAATTTCAACTTGAATTTAATAAAAACATGCATTTAACAGTACTAGCACTGAAAGTTATTTCTATTCTGAGAACATTTTCGACTAGGTCTTGCAAAAACAAAATTTTAAGCGGCGGAGAGGAGAATCTTTAATTTTGCTTCATTAAAAGTATTTTGTGAAACTACTGTTTTCCTAAAGTTGAATTTGTGAAGGTACCCTTAAACGGTAGTAAATTTTCCCTGGACAGATTCCTGCTTAATTATAAATATATTCTATGTTGTGAATTTTTTAAAGTCTGTTTTTATTGATAATGAAGGTTAAATAGAAAAATAATAATTAAAGGTGGATGTATGTAAATATTTGAAAATAGACTAATAAATAGAAGAAAAAACTAGAAGTAGGTGAGAGCAGAGCGAGTGAAAATTTTAAATTAGCTGTATGTAAAGTAATCTGCAGGTAATAAACATATTTCAACTATACCTATTAAGTTTTATATTTATTTAAATACTTATTAATTTTCCTTTTAAAACTTATTAAATATTTAATTAGTTCAGTAATGAAGAAAGATTTGTTCTGCCCAGAGTAACTTAGAGTAACTATTTTTCATTAATGTGTTCTAATCTAGACTAATTTAATTAACACTTCATTAGATATCAAACTGAAAAATTCCTTGTCTTTAAAATATTAAGATTTTTAGCTTAAACAAAAATAATTTTGGTATTTTTTATTCATCGATTAGTTTGTAATAATTAAATAATAAATTTAAACATTTTAGATTGAAAGGTTAACTATTTTAGCTAAATTATTGTTTTTAAATAAGAATAAGTAATATTAATATATTTTGATTTCTATTTTTTATTTTTGCATAATTCAGCTTATAAATACAGACCTATTAAATCAGGTTTAGTTCAAACTTACGTTAATCAGCTTAAAATAACAATAGTTATTCTGCAGAACTAAAAAAAAAAAAATTCCCATTTAAATTTTTTTTTATTTGTTATCACTTTTTTTTTTTTTTTTTTTTTTTTTTTTTTTTTTTTTTTTTTCTTTTCTAAAATTTGATTGCATCAAATCAACAAGGACGAGTTTTTCTCCTTTTTGGCAGAATTCTGCCTTTTTTTTCCCCTCTAAGAAATTCCTCATTTCTAAGAAAATTTTGCTTTTTATTTATTTTCAAACTTCTGAAAATAATTCATTTTTTTATGCATTTTTGTACCTATATGTAAATACAATTCAAAATTGCACTCACTGGATTTGAAAATCATATTGTGATTGAATATTCATCCCATTTAAAATTACACATCACAACTCATATCCACGCAATTTAAAATTATGCATCTCGATTCGTATCCAAGTGATTAAAAAAATCTACCGTATCTAAATTCGTATCAAAATCTCTAAATTCGTATTCATGTGATTTAAAAATCTCACATCAAGATCAAAGTTCACACAAAACTAAAAAAAAAAAAAAATTTATTTTTATTCAGCATTGTTCGTAATTTGATAATTTTATTAATATTTTTTATTAAAATATTTATAATGTTCTAGCTTCTAACATACATTTCTTGCTCATATTTCAGAAATTTTTCTATTTAAAATTTGTTTTGCACGCAACATTTTTGGATTTCTATTTTCAGCTTTTTAGCAAACTCATCCCTGAAATCTATCACTTTTTTGTTTTAGGGTTATGTGTCCTTGTATCAAAGTTTTGAGAGCTTCTATACTAGAAATGTGTATATGCGGATAAGAGATTGTTTGAATATGCCGATATGCAGTGTTCCTGGTGCTCTAACGAAAATGAAGGAGAGAGTCACTCATGATTATAATCTGACATTCCAGTGAGTATTAATTTATGTATATTCATGTAATTCCATGATATTAAGGACAATATAACAAAAGATAAACATGTACTGGCATCCCTACATCAACAAATTTCTTAGATTTTTTTAAAAACTGTTTTCAGGGTATCCGCGCATCTGGAAAGTCATGAATTTCAGTATTGAACAAAATTTGTCATGATTTTAACTATTTTTTTAAAAAAAAAGTCATGAATTTAGGTCGCAAAAATTTTTTATATATAAAATGGAATTCCGCTCCCCCAATTTCATGGTGTTCCGAATATCTGAATTTGTAACAAAATCCCCACTCAGAGTCATATTTTATTAAAATATAAAAAGATTATATCATGTTCTTTAAAAATTATGGTGTTTTTTTTTCAAAAAATGAAGGAAAAAACGTAATTTCTGGAGCGAAGTATCTTTTAAACTTCTGTGAGTTCAGAATTATTATTATTTAATTTTTTATTCAGGGCTGATTGTGCTACGGAAAAAATCCGGATTTCCGAAATTTTCGCTAACAGTGATCCGGAAGTTTTCGGAGATTGAAGGTCCAGACGTTTAAAAAAATCATTGATCACAGAAGTTTCCAGAAATCAAATTTTCAAAGGTGGAACTTAAAAACACAGTTTATTTTATTTGTTTGTAAGGGAGAGCCAGAGATATACTTTATAAGCTTATAATCATGATTAATATAAATTTTTTATAAATAAATAGTTGTTATAATCATAAACTCAAGAAAAAAAGACATTTGCAAATTTTAATTACTTCTCCAGGTCATCATAGGTATGTGTAAATGGTATAGGTATGTGTAAAATTGTAAATATATTTTAAGTAAACTAAGAAATATTGAGAAAAAGGAAAAATAAACTTGTTTAAATTTTTTTCAATTTAAACTTTTTTTTTTAACTCAAGAAATTTTCCGGAATTTTGACTTGGGCTCACAATCACCCCTGTTTATTTTATCAATTTAAAATTCTAGCTGAAGAAAGCCAATCATTGGCGAATTTTTTTTTATTCCGAAATAAGAACAAAAAAATCATGAGTATTTTTTTTCCTTTCTGGTGAACAAGAAAAGTATCTTTGGAATATAATTCTGCTGAAAAAAAAGAAGAAAAAATTATTTGCTCAGCTATTTTATTGTTTCGACTCTTTCTTTATTGTTTTTTAAATTTAAAATCAATAAATATAAAAATGCAAAGTATAACAGTATTGGTCATACCTATCATTTTAATTAATATTATAATGCTTTTTAAATTTATTATTCTGTTTTTGTCAGAGAAAATAATAACTTTGTTAAGTCATATATTTTGAAAATCTAAAATGTAGCAGATACCCTGTATTTTAGATATAAAATCATTATTGAGGTTATTAAAATTTTAATATAGATGGTATTTGTAACATCTGTCTCATAGAAATTATAACATTAGTAATAAGAGTTTTTCTCCGTTTGCCACTTTCTGTATGTCATTTCATGTGTACTTTCAACGTTTCCTTTTTATTTGAAGTTTTTTTAATTCAATTTAAAAAAATAATCCCATTATTACTTATAGAAGAGTTTCAAAATCAAAATATGTTTTAATCCATGTCTTTTTATGCAGCGTCAGTTACATTTTAGATTTTTATTTTGAATAAAACATTTGTAATTTTCATCCTTTTTCGTATATACATAATAATAGTAGGCTATTGAAAACATCCCATATAATTTTTTGGAAGAAAAAAAATTAAATATTTATCAATGAAAAAAAGTTTGAAAATACGAAAAGCAATCGAAGTGTATTGTAACCATGGAATTATTGAAACTGACTATGATAAGAAAACAAAAGATGGGTTTTAATAAGGAATATTATGTCATTGTTTCAAGTCTCTAAACTTATTATTTTGAACCTTAAAATCTTTTAAGGATCAGGGTATCTTAAGTCTAAAAAATATAAACTAATTTGCTGTGCTTACATACTATAGATTTGTGCAGTCGTAATTGAGAAATGTTTAAAAGTACAGTAGAGAACCGATTATCCGGAACAATCGGGACTATTGCTATTCCGGATAACTGATTTTTCCGGTTTTCTGAATCGCTACAAAAAGCCGTTTTTTTAGTGTTAAACCCAACTAAAAATATATATATATATATATTTGGAAATAATCTTAAAAATAAGAAAAAACGATGAGGTAATACACTAATGATTATTTCTGAAATGATGGTAAGGTAAACATCTTTCAAAAAAGAAAAAGAAATCCTAAAATGTTATGAGGAAAAAAAAAATTTTTTTTTTTAAATTGCGGGAAAATTTATCGAATTTTGTTCCGGTTTTTTTGGTTTTCCGGTTTTCTGATTTCCGGATAACAGATTCTGTACTGTAGTTGTTTTAGTTCGAGTAGTTGGCATCCATTCCATCTTTATTTGTTCTATATAAGTAATTATACAATAAACTGATATGTTAAACATTTTTTCTTCATTGAGAAAAAGAATTTTAAATTGGTAACTAGGTTCAATAAAACCCATTTTAATAAAGAAAAAAAAAACATATTCGAAAATATTTATTAGTTTCTAAGTAAGAAAATAGTACTCATTTAACTTTCTGTAGATCGATTATTTTAATATGTAGCTGGGTTCGTGATTTTTTTAATTTTTATTCAAACACATTGTAAGAACTTTAATTTATGATTAAAAATACTTTATAAATGTTTAATCAAAATTAAATTAATATTGAAACAATATTATAAGAATATTTTAGAAGCTCTGACTTACTAATATAATTTTTCATTACAATACATAGCTTTGAATGCATAGCATTTTGAAACAAATACATAATTGAAATTTGAAGACTAGATGAAATAGAGAATTTAATGAAAGTGGTCTGTCTAGTTTTTCTGAGAGGTATTTATTTTGTGAAAATTTAGACATAATTAGTGAAAATTAATAATAATATTAAAAAATCAACACAAAAATAAAATTTTAAAAAAAAGTATTTTGTGAAACTATTGTTTTTCCTTTGTTGATTTCCAAATTTGAATTTGTGAAGATACCCTAAGCAGTAGTAAATTTGGCTTGGACAGACTCATTAACTATTAAATTAAAGTTTCAATTAGCAAATCATAATTTTAATTTAAAATTGTGTTTTTTTTCTCTTGATTTTTAATATGACAAAATAAATGTAACAGATTGTGTTTATAAATATAGTCATTCATCAAAAAATAAATAAATATTTAATTTATATATTTTTATATTAAAATATTCATTTTTTATTCTATATCAAAATAGATCAGCTAAAAAAAATTTATGCACTCATTGGAATTTTTTTTCACAAAATTTCTTAATAGAAAATCTGATAATGTCAAAGATACTGTAAACATATTACGAGAAAAAAATACCAGTTACCAGTTAATGACTCTACTGCCTCAAACAGTCTTTGAAAGGGAAGAATGACACTATATCAGGAAAAAATATCTGAATTCATTAGCCTTTTTGTTCTATTTTTGGCATAGCCTTTTTTTTCTTTTTAATATAACCTCAAACTTTAGAAATATACATTTTCCACCAATGAAATATAGTGTAGTTTTTATTCCATGATGTTTCAATCAAAAGGTAGAATTTTAATTAAGATTATTTGAACTTTTTTTCTTCGAAATTCATGTCTATTAATTACTTTCTACAGCTATGCAAGTCTATAATAGCATTAAATGTGTACTTTAATCTGTACTTTCAATCTCAAGAATCAAAAGATTTTTAAAAATGTAATTTCAAATGTGTTGGAGTTTAACACACACCTAGAAAGAAAGTAATTTCGTTAACTGAAATTAATTAACACAGCAATTTATTTAAAATATTATCTTTAAAACTAAGAAAAGAAAATAATAAAAGTATCAATAATTTAAAACACTGTTTTTTAACTTTTAATATCAATATATGTATTGATTTTAAAATTGATATAAATCAGTTGATTTAAATCAATGATTTTTTAAAAAAAACCATTTGATTTAAATCGTGATTTACATCAAGCTGATTTAAATCAACGAACCCTGATATGTAGTAAGTCTAATACCTTTCCTTTTTTAAGGGAACCTTTTAAAATCTTTTGTGACATTCTGTCTATCTACTAAGTTATGAATGCTTTGTTTTTTCCTTGAAATATTTGTAGGTTCACTGGTAAATCATTTGATGTCATTAACATGGGTTCATACAATTACCTTGGTTTTGCAGAAAATAATGGAAAATGCGCTGAGCCTGTTAGAAAAGCCATACAGAACCATGGAATTGCAATTTGTAGCACTAGGCATGAACTGGGTATAGTATGATGGGACATTTCAATACAGTTTATTTTTAACTATATTGTTTTCTGTGTGTGTGTTTTGTACTTTATTACAAAGGTTGTAAATAAAATAATGGCATTTCAGTTAATTAGCGTTAAGGTTTATATGCCAAACATTCTTTAAANTTCGACTGTATATTGTTTTCTGTGTGTGTGTTTTGTACTTTATTACAAAGGTTGTAAATAAAATAATGGCATTTCAGTTAATTTGAAAAAATTAGCGTTAAGGTTTATATGCCAAACATTCTTTAAAGCTCTTCTAATATATTTCTCCTAACATGAAGAAATTGAGGCATTCAAAATTGAATGTTTTTTTTTTTTAATTTAAATAATAAATATTTAAATTAATTTTGTTTGATCGTTCTAAATAAAGCTATAGTTGAAAAATAAATAGAATAAGATTTATCTGGCCAAAAATTAGAAGTCGTTCATTATTATCTGATAGTAGTGTTGCCAAATATACATTCATTACAATTCTATATCCTGTTGCAATTTTTGTTTAATGCTTGCTTTCCTACTTTTCTTTTAAATAAATTCATTAGCATTCCAAAGACTGTCTATGAAGTAGCCAAAAGTATTATTTGTTTCCCTTTGTCTAGAAGTCAGATTGCACTCTCAAATAAGTTATGATTACAATTCTCAGCCTTGCTAGAATACACTCTTTCTTTCAATACTTTGTACACTTTTTTTTTTCTGTTGCTAATTACACTTTCTTTTTTTTTTTCAAGGAAAATTTTTAAATTATCTTTTTGAAGTGATAATATTAGTAAAGGTCCAATATTGTTTGTGCTCTTACTACTTAGTTTAAATTTGTATAGTTTATTCTATACTGTTTAATATTTTACTAACTAATGAATGTAAGCCAGAGCCGGATTATACCTTTCGTAGACCCTAGGCATAGCCGTTCTTGGGCCCTCCCCTCCTTCCCCCACTCCTCCCCTCTTTTCAAAATATATGCTGAAATTTTCTTGCATGTTTTTTTTTTTACACTTTTATTAATATGGATTTTAATTTACGAATTTGTTTATCGAACTTTATCTGCAATACCGACAAGTGTAATGCATAAAGTAAGAGAAAAAAGAAAGGTACTCCTAACTTTAAAGAGAAAAAAAATGATAGAAATATAACATTTAAAAGAATAAAAAATTTACAAGTTTAGACAAGAAAAACAAGTTTAAAAAATACAAAATTCTCATATTTATTTTTTAAAAATAATTACAATTCCTAAATTAACTTATATAAACAAAACCAATGATTAAATAACGCAATATATTTCATACCTAATTAAACGGGGGGGAAACAATAAAATAAAAGGAAAACTTATTAATCTAAATCAAAACACTTGAAAATTATCGAACCGAAACGATAGTTAAAAAAGGCACTAGCATAAATATTAAAACCCGGAACAAGGCAAGATCAACGGAATTTTAAAAAAAAAAAAAAACCCTAATGATAAAATTTATGAATAAAAAGAATTTATTGAGTGCGAAATTTATCGTGAAAAGAAAAAAAAATCAAACGCAGTGGAATCAGAAAAACAAAACTGTTTTTCTGATTCCACTACGTTTGTTTTTTTTTTTTTGATTTTTTTCTCCCAAGTTTTTCATAGGCCCTAGGCACGTGCCTAGTGTGCCTATAGGTTAATCCGGCCCTGATGTAAGCAAATGTTATGAAGAAAAAAAATATGAAAACTTTATCATAAAATTCTTGAAAATTCAGGGAGATTTCATTTAACACTGTACCAAACATCCTGATCCATTTTAAATTATAACTAGAATATGATTTATTTACTAAAGATCCTTTATATTTTAAGTTTCTATATTTATTTACTTTTAAAAATTTTTAGGAACCACTCTATATCACCAAGAATTGGAGAAACTAGTTGCAGAGTTTGTTGGAGTTGAGGACAGCATTATTATAGGTATGGGTTTTGCCACCAATTCCACAAATTTACCTTCAATAATTTCCAAAGGATGTTTAATACTTAGTGATGAGTTAAACCACGCCTCCCTTGTTCTTGGTTGTCGACTTTCTGGAGCTAAAATCAGAGTCTTCAAACACAATGGTATGTTAAAGTTGTCATTTTATTTTCATTTTTTAATATTTGTTTAGCTTTTTTTTAAAAGGATTTTTTTCCCGCTACGTCATTTCTAGTTAAATCTAGTTAGTGAAAAAAAATTATTAAAGAATTATTAAATAATATTGCTTTGCTTTATTAAGATATTCTATTTATTACAATAAAAATAAGGTATAAAAGGATATACAAACAAAAAATATATGGCGATGTGTTTACATATTTTTTATGGTTAGTAATAAAATGGGGTAAAGGTAGTAAAAAAACACCACTTTTCTTCCACTTTGGGTCTCGGCAGAAAAGGGGAGAAAAGTGAATCTTGCTATTTCAATACATGAAGCGTTGTGTCAAATGTAGGTTTTTATGCTGATTCAAATAGCATCAAACTTGAGATGATTGGACTGATAGTTTAAAAGTTAAGATCTTTTATGTTCTAAAGGTTAAATATTTTATTTGTTCCTTTTTACTTATCTGACTTTGCTATCTACACGAATGAGGCATTACTTCTATGTAACGTTTTAGGCATAAAATTCTTCCAACTTATATCAGAATTTTTGACTTTCTAAACTTTAGAAGAATTCTTAATATTTTTAAATTATTTTGTTGTGTTTCTCATTGACTACTAAATTAAAATTGAAAAGGCATTTACAACTTAACTTTCGGATTATCAATTGGACGAGACTGAGTTATGTTTAACAATACTTGTCCAAGGTTTTTAGATCACTCTGTATTTGCTTTTAGTGTACTTTTTTGCAAAAACTACTTTAAAGTAGCACATAGAAACATTTTATTTTCAGTAAAAACTATTATATTCTACAAGCTAAACATGTCTCCACATCTATTTAATGTTATACCAGGACATTAAAAAATAAAAAACAAAACCTTTCTAAATTGTTAAAACTAATTATTTTTTCAAGATTAACAGGGTGCGTTTGTAAAAAGTACTTAAAGGTGCTTTTTGGGAGATTTCGTTTTTAAAAGCTTTTAAAGGTGCTTTTTTCAGCTGGCGTTTTTAAAAAGTGCTTTTTTTAACGAATAATTTTTTTTCTTCCTTCAGTGATATCTGGCGGATCCCCTGCATTTCGGGAAAAATGGGGTGTTTGCTACGTAATCATTCACACGGACTTCATGTTGTACCCACGTTATGACTTGCGCATGCGCGCACACTCGAAACTGAAACCCGAGTGCTCCAATTCGGATAGAGTCAGATCCTTATTAAATGTTTTTCTTTTTCATTTATAATTTTATTCTTATTTATTTTATTTTACTTCTAACACTTTTTTGATGTAGGGGGTAAGGGTACTTTTGTTCTGAGTTCAAAGTCAAGTTGAATTCACTCGGTGATGTGGGAAAGGTACTGATTGTTTAGATTTACGTCCGTTTTTTTTTAATGCTATAACTGTTCATAAAAAGTTTTTGTTTTTCAATAATATCATTGATTCAATATGAGTTTTTTGAGTGCTTGAAAAGCTTTTAAAAAGTGCTTATTTTTGATTCAAAGATTTGGCTACACACCATGATTAAATATTTAAAAAAAATACAGTTTAAGTAAATACCCATCCTACACCTTGTAAAAAATAAAAAATACATGCTCACCTGAAAATTTTAAAAATTTTACCTGGAAAAATCAGGGAAATTTTAAACCTGATGAGTGGCCACCCTGAAAAATTAAATTGTGAATTGTTTTACAATTACATAAGGGATTTAATATACAGTCAAACCCCATTGTAGAGAACCTAAAGGGACCGAAATTTCGGTTCACTATAACCGGGAGTTCACTATATCCGTTCCGCAAGCAATTTTAACTAATAGTTCCGATCTTTTTATTATACATTGTTTAAATAAATGACCAATAAAATGAAATACAAAAATGGCAGAAAAGTAATGCTTAGTAACAAAAAATATGTTAACTTGCTTTTATTTTATATTACTCTTCGTCTTGTGTACAAAAAAATAGTAATCTTTAGCTGATGCAGGGAAAATTTTTTCCATACATCTGCCTGAGTTGGCCTTTGTTTAATGATGGAAAAGTGAGATAAAAGAAGCAAACCAGAAAAAATGCTTATTTCTATAGATGGTTTTAAAAATCAGTATAAGTACTTATTTAGAAGTAGACATTTCAAAATTATTTTTTAAAAAAATCTAGAAAAAAGTCAGTTGAAGACAGAAAAAAGTTCATAATATCCAACTTCCTCACTTTTTTAGTTCACTATATCCACAAAAAATATCATTATACGTGTATAGCAAGGCATGGGACCGAATATTTCGTTCACTATAAACCGTGTTCACTATAGCGGGGTTTGACTGTAGTCATTTATGAATTAAATTTGTATTGCAGAAACCCTTAGAAAAGCAAAACAGAAACTGATTAATCTGGAAATTAAAAAACATAAATTGAAATGGATTGCTCATGCTCTACGTAAATCGGAAAAATTTTAAGTTAAACAAGTTTTTGAATGGAGCACTTAGGACAATAGAGAAGAGGAAGATATAAAAATACTTGACGCAGGGCTATTGTAAATGAATTGAAAGGAATAGGAAAAACATAGATAGGCAAAATATCCGGCCATGAAATAGAGTGAGATAGAGCTATGATAAAATAGAGTGAAGTATGATAGAAGCCCTGTGCTCCAATTCAGAGTAAAGAGGAATGGGTGTGTTTGAATTTTTTGTCCCAGTCAACGTTAGTAGATTGTAATACACGAGTCAAACTACTTATACTTGCAGCAAGTTCAGTTTTATAATGTTCTCTAAAACTTGATTTAACTGTTGTTTTTAAGTGAGATATAGCACTATCCTCTACAAGGAAAAACCTGTGTTTGACAAATGATTGTGAACATCTACTTTCTGCTTATAAATACTAGGTATCTGCTCACCTGGAAAGTCATGAGATATCATGGAAAGTCATGAGATATCATGGAAAGTCATGATTTTAAATATTTTTTTAAAAAAAAAAATCATGAAAAGTCATGGATTTAGGCTGCTGAAAAATCTAATTTTTAAAATGGAATTATCTCCTCCCCCCTTCGTTCCATGATGCTCCGAATATCTGAATTTGTAACAGAATCCCTGCTTACAGTCACATTTAATTCAAATATAAAATGTTTTTATCGTTTTCTTCAAAAATTATGGTGTTCTTTCAGGAAAAAACATCATTTCTAGAGCGAATTATTTTTTAAATTTCTGTGATTTCAGATTTTTTTTTATTATTTTTTTTATTTTATCAATTTAAAATTCTAGCTGAAGCAGGATTGTCATAGGCATATTTTTTTAATTCCAAAATGAGAACAGAAAAGTCGTGAGTATTTCTTTCCTTCCGATGAATAAGAAAAGTATCTTTAGAATTTGATTCTGCTGAAAAAAAGAAAAGAAAATTTTTTTTGCTTTTTTATTTTTTTCAGCTATTTTATTGCTTTAACTCTTTCTTTACTCTGTTTTTAAATTTAAAATCTATAAATATGAAGATGCAGAATATAACAGTTTTGGTTAGACCTATAATTTCAATTAATGTTATTATAATGCTTTTTTAAATTTATTGTTGCGTTTTTGTCAGAGAAAATAGTAACTTCGTTAAGTCATGAAAAATGCTAGGAATTAAGCATGGAAAGTCATAAATTTGAAAATCTAAAATGTAGCAGATACCCTGTAAATATTAGTTAGTTCTCTTTTGATAAAGCCTTTCATAGATACAGTTGCCACTATGTATTTGCAAATTCATTTTTAAGAATGTTTTTTAATATTTTTAAAATAGCTAAATTTTTAAGTCATATCATCACCATTTGCCATATCACTCAAAACTACAGTGCGGCACAAGTTTTCTTTTACTGTTGTTGTTTTGTTTTTTTTATACAACTTTAGCCCAAAGCATAAAGGTGACTCATCACTGTTGCCTAAAAAAATAATATCCTTATCTTTGGAAAACCGACCCAAATAAACAAATTATTGCAGAATTATTTCGTGTTTTCTGGAATCTTTTAATCAACACTTGTCACAGATCCAGAAGCAATATTATGTTGTTTTAAAAACTTTTAAACCGACCATTTGAAGCTTTAAGATCAACTCCTTCAATATTACCGTTTGTATGTCTATACAGACCTTTTTAGGATTTGTTTAGCGCACATTTTTATTCTTAAACCGTTAGGAAGCGTCCCTGCTTTTCTCTCTTTTTCAATCCTATCCACCAAAATGTTTTCCATTTTAGATGTTTAATGTTTTTAAAAATTTCTAAAAAAGAAACTGGGTTCATTGATAAGTTTAGCTTTTAACTGAAGTGCAAAGTTATCATGAATTTAAAATTTTTCAATTTGAAACAGAAAAAGCAAATAAAATTACTTTTGTTATGACTTTTTTCAAAAGTAAAAGCACTTTTTAAAGTTATTCTTTTCATTTCACTTTCTTAAATTATTGTATTCAATTTTATATCAATGTTTTATATTTTAGACATGAAAGATCTTGAACGAAATATTCGATCTGCCATAGTATCTGGTCAACCAAGGACCAAACGACCCTGGAAGAAAATTATTATAATTGTTGAAGGAGTTTATAGGTTAGTTCTTTTTCTTTAATGTGTAATTTTTAATTATGTTTGAATAGATATAAACTTGTAATTTTAGTTTTTTACTATTGGACTGAGTTATTTAAGTTTTTACTTATATGTTGATGTTGTAATCATGGGTGCCACTCTTCAGTCCTGGGGACTGAAATCAGTCTTGAGATAAAATATCAGTAGATTAAGTTTCATAAATTAATACCTCTTTTCTGTTGGTTTTTTATATAAAATTTTCTGTTTTATTTTAGAAATGTAACAAATATTCACAAATAAAAATTAAATTTTAGTGTAAACATTGTTAATTTTCATAATTGTTGAAAAATGCTCAGTAATGAAAGAATGAGATTGAACTTCAATGTTTCTTGCTTGAACAAAGTTTGTACTATTGTTGTATCTCAATTTTCTTTTTTTCTTTTTCCCCAACGTTTTGAAATGCTGGTCAGTTAAATTAAGATTATTATTTTTCTTTTAAAAAAATAAATAAATAAAATAAACAAGACATAAATAATGCTGAAGTGAAAAATAGAGATGCATAGCTTCATGAAATAATTAGTGGATATTCAGTGAGTGATGCAGGGCTGATTGTGCCTCCGAAAATCAAATGAAGTTTCCGGCGGTCGAAGGTTCAGACATTTCAAAAAATTATTGACCACAAAAGTTTCCAGAAATCAAATTTTCAGAGGTGGAACTTAAAAACACAGTTTATTTTATTTGTTTGTAAGGGAGAGCCAGATACTTTATAAGCTTATATTCAAGATTAATATTCATTTTTTATCAGTAAATAGTTATTATAAAGAAAGAAAGAAAGACATATTTGTAAATTTCAGTTTCTTCTCCAGGTCATCATAGGTATGTGTAAAATTTTAAATATATTTTAAGTAAACTAAGAAATCTTGAGAAAAAGGAGAAAACCTTGTTTAAATTTTTTTTGATTTAAACTTTTTACTCAAGAAGTTTTCTGGAATTTTGACTTGAGCTCACAATCACCCCTGGTGATGTAAAACAATGTATAAGGTTAGCTGTTGTTTCATCTTGCTTGCTGTAAAAAAAATTAGAAAAAAAATAGATAATTGATTTAATATTTGAGCTATTACTATAGAATGGTACATTTTGGAGATGGTGAGCTATAAATTTCTTAAAATTCTAGTAAACAACTCTAGATTGTGTTGATTGGTCAAAAAAATAAGTTCAGTCCTGAAATATTTTTAGAGTGGCTCCCATGGTTGTAATATTATTGTAATATCAGTCCTATGTTTGCAATAACTCATTCCAATACTACAGACTTGATCTCTTTTATTATTAGAAAACCATTAAGAGGTGAAAAGTATTGTTTGATTCTCCAATAGCATTTGATAAGTCTGATATAAAAGGTATTGTGAATTATACTTGAAGGTTTATTGAGTTAAAAAATAATTTGTAGTAAAATGAAATTTAGAATATTACATTCATTTGAAAAAAGAAAAAAAATACAAATTAATTTTATGCAATGGGTAAGATTATTTATTCTTTTGAAATTAAAAGTTTTTAATTGAAAATGTAAATATTTTAAATCTTTATCCAAACTCCATTTATCTCAATATAACTTTGAAGAAAGATGAGCAATTGAAAATAGTAAAGAATGTAATTTTGTTAATGCCTGAATTATCCTAAAATATCTCATTTAATAATTCTACTTGAATAAATATTTTTCATTTATTTAAGAATTTGGATTTTTGTCTCTGGAAGTATGAGAGGTAGCTACATTTTAATGTAGTCAAAATAGTTAAGTCAGAAGATCAGGCAGAAGTTTGAGCACCTCTTCAAATGTAAACAAACACTAGTTTTAAAGTGTGCTTGTTCATCACAACTGTGCATACTAGGTGAACTCATTAGTGAACTGAACCGGTTGAACCGCTTTCCTGGCTTCAAGATCAACCAAAGTTGAGATAAATATTTTCATAGAAAACAAAACAGTTAAGTGCCTGCAATTGAAAAATAAACGCAAGCGACAAAAAATTCCAAATTGAGATTTTTAAATATTTGCCATCTTTGTATGGTAAGCTACATATTGTGAAAAAAAATTACAAAAATAAATTTTGCTTTATCAGTTATTTGAAATTCTATTTTAGCGTTCATAACATTAGCAATAAAAAAAGAAAAATTGTCAAGCCACTTTTCTGGAAATCAATCGTGATTCACTTACTTTGATTTTTCAATTGCGCGGCAGTGTATCCATCATGCGTTGTCGATTGAATTGTGTAACTATAATCCTTTTTCACTGCCTTGATAAATTGATTAATTTTTTGAAATTTTAAAAGCTCTTTGAATTTGACTCTGACATGGGCTATTTATTCTGATGAATACAAAAACTGATTTCTAATACTTTGTTTTCCTTTCCTTTTATTTTATAAAAAAATAAAACTGATTCAGTTTATTTTTAAACTTTTTTCCATTGATTGTAAATATTTATTTCAGTATGGAAGGCACTATTACTAACCTGCCAGCTTTGATTGCATTGAAAAAGAAATATAGATGCTATTTGTATGTTGATGAAGCCCACAGCGTAGGAGCGCTTGGACCGAGAGGACGTGGTGTCGTTGATTACTTTGGATGTGATCCCAAAGATATTGATCTGCTTATGGGAACATTCTCCAAAAGTTTCAGTGCAGCTGGGGGATACATAGCTGGATCTCGGGTATTTTAATGTTTTTATGTTCTTATAATTTCCTTTTAAAAGTCTAAAATTACGAGTAATTGACCACAGCATTTTCCAATTCTGTGAGAAAAATAAGATGAAACATCATTTAAAAATCCTTTGCTTATAATATTTAGCATGGGGAAGCTTCTCCTTTTGCCCCACTTGTTGTACAAACTGTAAGCAGAATGTTTACTGTATTGTTTATCTTGTATTTTAAAAAATAAATTAATCTTATACATGGTGCGTAGCTTCTTTAAAAGGTGCTTNAGGAACCCCTAAAATTCCTAAAAATCTGATAAAATTTTGTTGGTGTTCCTAAAAAATTAGAGTTATAGGCTAAATATAAATAAAAAAGCAATTATCTAAAATATAAGAATTAAACTACATTAATTAAAACTGTTTTAATTTTGTCACATGGGAATTTTGATCCTGAGAGAGGTTTTTCGATAAATAAAGCAATGCTTAATGTGAGTCACCCTGAGAATACTATTGTGTCTCTTAGACTAATCAAAGATACCATTCGAAATTATGGAAGAGTGTTGAAGATCACTACAACACTATTGAGGGCAGTAAAAGAATCTCACAAATCATATCAAGAATATTTTAGAAAAATGATCATGATTAATTTATTTTTCTCTAACTTCTAATATAAATTGCTGATTTGAAATCTAATAATATCACACAATAGTTTTTCTTAATAAAATAAGGTAAAGGGTAATCGTAAAGTTTTGATTAAAAAGGTAAAAATTAAATAAAAATCCAAGTTGGTGTTAATTTATTTTTTCTCTTGATTTATTCTGACTTTTGCCTGTTCCTGAATTATGCACTTAATTTCTGATATGTAATATGTAAAGTTGAAATTTCATTTTTACATTTTAGAGATTTCATTCTTGACTTAATAAATTTCAGAGCTTTATTTTATGGCTTGCAATTATTTATGATATTGTAATGATATTGTAATGTGGATGAATTGTAATAATCTTCTGTTATGTAATAAATTACCGTGTGATCTGTTTTTTTCCTAGCAAAATCATATATTACCCCTAAAATTTTTTGAAAAAAGTTCCTAAAATTACCCTAAAATTTTAAAAAACTTTGCTGCTACCCCTGTGTATTGTTAATCTTGTATTTTAAAAAATAAATTAATCTTATACATGGTGCGTAGCTTCTTTAAAAGGTGCTTTTGCCATTGGGTGTTTTTAAAAAGTACTTAATTTTCCCTTTTCAAAAATGAGAATTTTTTTTTCTTCGTTATTATGTCGATTTTCGCCACGTATTATGCAAAAGCGTGCTTTCCGCATTGTTCCATTCAACGATTTCACAGTTAATTTCGGCATGCAGTCGGTCCATAGCGTATTAAAGCACCAATCATTTTACATGTTTGATGAAAAAACTTGTGAGTCCGTATGTGCGTCTGCTGTTCGGGGTTCGGTAAGATTATTGCCTTCTCATGTGCAACTCTGCTGCATTTTGCAAGATATTCTCAATTTCAGACTTCATTTTCCACCCTCTGATATCAAACCAAAAAATCTCTCGATCATTTTGTAATGGCTAATATAATCAAGAAAAGAGTTCTTTGTCAGGAACTACTTATTTTCTCATGATCATCTAAAGTCTTTGAAAATTATTTTGCATTTTGTTGATGTATATAGTGCTTAAAAATATTGATGATAATAAATGAGTGATTTAAAAGTACTTTAAAGGTGCTTATTTTTTGCTGAAAGATTTAGTTATGCACCCTGTTATAGTAAAGCTTGTGTAAGTTGACCATTTGTGAGACAACTATTGGATGGTACATTTAGGCAATTTGTTAGTTTTATCAAAGGGAAAATATTTAATTTTGCTACCAGTTCGGTACTCGATTATTTAGGTCTACTTAGACAGGTGACCTTACAGACATGGTCAACTTAACAGATTTCCTGTGATTTCTTCCTTTTTTTTTTTTTTTTTTTTTTTTTTTTTTTTTTTTTTTTTNTAATTTGTAGTCAAAGGAGCATATGAAAAATGTGATTTATACCAAATTGGAATTAATAAAGTAAAACATTTTTGAAAATTATCAGTTAGTACTATAAAATTTAATGTTAAACTAAAATATTAAGCAATAAAATTTATCTTAAAATCTACTATACTTCTATAGATATTCTCCGTTTTTTATTTACTTTAAAATTAGAGTATTTGACCTTGCTTCTAAGATGATTACTTTTATTTTTCGTACTACTATCCACTTAAGCATTTCCATTTTATCTTTTACTTACTCCTATTACTTTTTTTTGTATGCTACACACCCTAATAATGTAAATTCAGTAACTTATGATTGAAAATCAACCTATTGCAAGAAGGTAAACAGAAAAAGAATTTCTTTTGACCACTAATTTTAGATATGTAGTACTAACTTGTGAAAATCACTTCCTAGTTAGAAAAAAAGTATTTGAACTGCATTAAAAAAAATTTAAGAAAATATTGCTAAATGAATTATAAAGACTACATAGATAATGATATTTCTGAATTAATTTCTAAAAAAGTAATAATAATTAAAATTATTAGATTGTCAACTTATATATAGTTCTTCTTACAATGTGGTTATTATTTCGTAATTGCGATTATTTGTACTAGATTTTGCATTTTTTTTCTCTTTTAAGGATGTTATCAATCACCTGAGAACACATAGCTACAGCTTTTACTATGCTACTAGTATGTCAGCAGCAATTGCTGTACAAATCTTAACATCTATGAAGATAATAATGGGAAAAGATGGAACAAATGAAGGTAACATTTTCATAATATTTCTTAATTTTTTTTTCCATTCAAAATAAAAATTGAGGATTCTACTTCAGTGTTAGAAATACAGAGGAAAATGAAGATACAGTAGACTGTCATTTATCTGAAAACGCTTTTACCGGATTGTCCAATTGTCCGGATTCGTTGAAGGACCATGTGTTTTAGCCACCTTGTCCAAAAAGAATTTTTGTTTTCCATGAAAATGCTTCTTTATTTTTGGAATATCTGGAAGGGGTCTAAAATGGCTGCCTTTACCACTTGGTGACATTGAAAAGAACCTCACGCATTCCACACAGTTCCAATGTGGGTGCTAAGTAGTTTCGATTAAGGAAAAAGGTTTCTAATAAAATAAAAAATTAAAACTTTTAAACAAGCCATTTGTAATATGCTATAACAGGCACTACTACAATTGCCAATCCTAAGCCTGGAAAAAGTGTGAAAGGTAGTTACTTAAAAACATTCTTATAACTGTTTTTTAAATTTTTCCCGTCTTTTGGTTATCCGAATGGTCTTGGTCCAGATAATCGGAGAATATTAAATAATTGGAGAATATTAAAAAAAGTTCATTGAAGCTGACGCGAATGAAAGATTCAATTGAGAAAGTTATTAACAAAATACTCCTAGATGGTTTTAAAAGATAGTTTTCAAGCTATCTTTAATTACTGCAAAACTGACACTATTTTGTTGTGTTATGCAATTTTCAGAAAAAAGTTAGTTTTTTTTTTTTTTTTTTTTTTTNTTTTTTTTTTTTTTTTTTTTTTTTTTTTTTTTTTTTTTTTTAAATTTATTTTCTAGCTTAGCCTGCCTAATAAAAATTAAAGGAATCGATTTAGATTCTGGACACATTTCCAAACTAACAATGCTTATGCAATAGATTTAATAAATAATAAAATTCATTTATTTATACATATTCAGGGGTCTGATCAGGGTAAATTTCTGCTGTTTAGCGGTACTTTCACAAATTCAACTTAAGGAAAAACGGTAAATAAAAAAGTAAATCCTCATGGAAACCCCGTTCTCGTTGCAATCTATGGAAAAGAGGAGCTTTCCTGCCAGCTGTCTTTTAACAAAAAAGGTAGCACGTGTTTGATCAAATAGTGCAACATGGTAACCTTAACCGATCATATCAAGGCAAGCTTTTTTTTTTTAATGAAGCGACGAGGCTCTCCTGCTATAAACTTTACAGGAAGTCGAAGTTCGAACATTATCTTAAACACTATTGTAAATTTATTCTACTGACCTTTAATTTTTTGGAACCATTTTTTTTCTAAGTGAAACTTTTTTCTGTGTGACCCAGTTGAAAACGTTCTCATGATTAAAATAACTTTAGTACTGTTAAATGCACGTTTTTATTAAAATCAAGTTGAAATTTAACTATGGACAATGATTTTTATGAATTTTGAAATTTGGATACAATTTTTAGCCCAAAATTTTACAATAGCAAATTGCTTTTGAATAAATGCGAAAACAAAGTATAGAAATTTACGAGTCAAAAATGATTTTTATTTGTAGTGACAATTTTTGAACAAGGTTCCCACAGGTCAGGGAAAGCCAGGAATTGTCAGGGAATTTTATTTTAACCCCAAGTATCAGGGAAATATGCCATTTTTCTTACAAAAACCTGGAATATTCCTATATTATACCTGGAAAATAATCAGTTTTTGTGTTAAGTAATTCTAATATCTTTTACAATTGTTTGTTGTTAAAGGTTCCCATTTTATTCAAACAGAAATGTTTCTTTTCTCATTTAATATTATTTTACACAGAAAATCTAATATTTCACGTTTCAAATAAATGAATCCAAATTTCCTGATGAAAGAAAATATGGTCTCAATTTTTATTGAAATTTACCTGGTATACTTGGAAAAGTCAGGGAATTCTTTTTTTTTTCCGAAATTGAGTGGGAACCCTGTTTGAAAATATTTTCTTTTTTTACGATATTTTTAATTTTCACAAAATATTTCTAACTTTTTGCAAAATTGGTACCGCTTAAAAAAAAAACTAGACAGACTAACCCCTGATATTTTAGTTTTCATGATAATTAAAACAAGAGAAATGTTTTACCTCTTTTACTGTTGTGCTTCATTAATGTAACATGTGTTACATTTTTACTGTATAGTTACATTATAGTTATATTTTTACTGTATTTGCTTTCATTTTGTTGGGGTTTTTTTTAGGTATGAAACGAATCCAAAGACTTGAAAAAAATACTCATTACTTCCGTCAAAAACTGAAGCAGAAAGGTTTTATAATTTATGGCAATGATGATTCACCTGTTGTTCCTTTAATGCTTTATTTTCCATCCAAGATTGCGTAAGTTATGAAATCATTATTTTGTGCTTCATTAAAATGGCTATGCTTAAAAAGTATTAATTGTCGCGAAAGTGGTCTAAAGCCTCTTAAAATCATTGATTTATAATAATTATTAACAGAACAAACCAGCAGCCTTTTTTTTCTTTTGCTGCAGTTAATTAACTTTTCCTTATTTCTATATTCAGGAAATCTAATTTATTAAACAGAAAAAATAGTAGTCGATTAAAGCTGTGACTTATAACTAGTTTCTGTGAAGCAGAAGTATTGCTAGTAGATATATCTGTTCAAGAGGCATAATATGTTATATATGTAATCATTATACGTTGCATAATTATAGATTGATTAAGTAATTTAATATATTGTAATACTAGATTATTATTTACATTATAATATTAAATAATTATCTATATCATAATATTTTATTCAACGTAATACAAAGTGGAAATATGTGTTTGTATACACATCCAAAACCTGCTATCAGAGCTAGTTATACTGTAAAAGTTCTTAACTTCTTGCTCTAGAAAGATGTTTTTATCACAAAATTGCTTAAAATGTGCTGTAGGCATAGTAACTATCACATTTTGTAAAAATATTTTGATGATTTATTAAGGCTTTGAACACTTAACATCTTGCAGTGTGTAGCAGTCAATTGTTTTAGTACTTTCATATGCAAATTGCTTTAAAAACATCTTGCAAGTCAACTAAATCAAAAAAAAAAAAAAAATATTTAACTAGTTGTTTAGTGTAAAGTTCCTCAAAGGATTGGAAAATTCCACTCACAAATTTTACTTTGCCTATCTCACCACCTTTCCAATTTTGACTTAAGAGAAATCCCTTGTTACGGATAGAAGGACAATGAGATAGAAAACAAAGAATATAAGAACAGGTTATAAACAAATCTCTTTTTCTTAAAAGAAAAAAAAACTATAAGAGCTTCCTAAAGAAAGAATTTTTTGCTGTTAGAAAAACATATAAAACGAGGTGTTCTTTAGAAGGCATATATAAAATTTTGGATAGTTTAACATTATCGGTATATGTAATTCTCCTGGACCAGCTGAAAATGGTGTAGAAAGCGAGATAATGTTTAAAACAGACAATGTAATCCCGGGGTTCCTCTGTATATGGATTTAATAATTAATTAGTAAAGCATGCCTGAACTGAACCATTATTGAAACATGAACTGATAGTTTTCTTAAAATGGGTGTCATGGTTACAAGAATTAAGAATAAGGATGGTGCACATTGTACAAAAATGTAAGTACATTCTTCTAGGTGGTAATCATTTTTTCTTGTATAATACATAGGTCATAATCAAAAGTTAATTATTAATTGTCTTTCTGTATATAATCACTGCGTAACTTCAGCTAACTTGCTTAAAACTCTGACGTTTCTAAGGGCTGTAGAGTTACTAATTTTATAACAGTTTTTTGAAGCTATAGAAAATATGAATCATAAAACATTTAACACATGATTTTTATGAAGAAAATTAATTTAATTAAAAATATTAAAATTTAAAAAAATTACATCCCTAAATAATTAACGTTAAATAAATATATATTTTCTTCTCATTCTCAATTAAGATCATCTTGAAACATTTCATGTTAATTGTTTTTAATTATTTGAATTTTTACACTATATTCAGATTTAGCGAGTAACCAAATTTAGCGAACCGTTTTGTATTTCCTGAGCTTTTTATTGAATAAAGATTCTATTGTACAATCTTTTGATATGAGTGGAAAAGTATTATAAAAAAGAAATTATTTGAAGTAAATGATTTATTGTGAATGAATGTATTTTATTGAAACAATATTTAAAAATTTCCAGGGCTTTTGTACGTCTACTACAAAGAGGAGGTATTGCTACAGTAGGTGTGGGTTTTCCAGCTACATCACTTACGACAGCTAGAGCAAGATTTTGTATGTCAGCTGCTCACACAAAGGAAATGTTAGATAAAGTAAAGGAAATAACTTTATTTATTTTTTAATAAAAGAAATTGTTTGAGTAAAAAAAATTACTATAACATGGTGCGTAGCGTTTTTAAAAAGTACTTAAAGGTGCTTATTTTTGATTTTCATTACTTAAAGGCCCTTAAGGGTGCTTTTTTTATTGGGTGTTTTTTAAAAGTGCTTAATTTTCCCTTTTCGAGAAGGAAATTTTTTTCTTTAACATGTCGATTTTCGCCGCGTATTATGCAAAAGCGTGCTTTTCACATAGTTTTCATTCAAAGTTTTCCCAATTCATTCAACCACAATCTATTTCAGCGTAACGTCAGTCCATAGTGTATGAAAACGCTAATTATTTTACATGTTTGATGTGCGTCTACTGAAGACTTTGTTTTCCGCCCTCTGATATTGAACCGAAAAAATCTCTTGATCATTTTATTATGGCTAATATAATCAAGAAAGAGTTATTTGCCAGAAACTAATTATTTTATCATGATCATGAAAAATCTTTGAAAAATTATTTTTCATTTTGTTAATGTATATAGTGCTTAAAAATATTTTTTGAGTGCTTAAAAGGTGCTTATTTTCTGTTGAAACATTTGGTTACGATAACGATACTGAAGAAGATGCAAATTTTCGTTTTAATATAATCAACTATGTTTGATTGGGCATAATTAAATGTGAAGCACAAAGAATAAAGTAAAAGTAATTATAGCTGAATGAAGTAAATATAAATTTAAATTAGTGGATCTAACTTACCTTCTATATCGATCCTTATTTTTAAATTTCGGTGCGATTGCAGCACATTCAAATAGGTGAAAAAATAAAAATTCTGCTAGAAAAGTAAAAATTATGCACGGCAAAATATTCCATAAAAAGAAAGATAACTTATTTATTTACATTTATCAGAATTGAAAATCTATCGAAGGAAATATCCGAGACATGGTCCAAAGTAAGGTCAACAGACTCTCCTTTCAGTTCATCTGTAATATCATTGTCTATAGATCCAACATTAACTTCCGATAATCAGGAATAGAAAAGCCCATCTTCGCTTCTATCTTATGCTTTGGAAATACCACAAATCTTAAATGAGTTTGAGCTTGTCTCTTCGGAGACGGCCTCCCGAGCGATCGACACAAAACCAATCGCATCTTCCCAAGTTGTCCTTTTTAAATTCCTCGCAAGGGTTTTTTGTTTATTCCTAATGAGGGGCACCCATTTGTGAGGAGCATGACAGTTTTTTAGAAACAAATTCATAAAGAAATTCTTAAAATAAGAACTTTTAAATTGTGTTGCAGGGAAGGGGCACTTTCTTGAGTCTGGGTGTTTTACGGTAATGATTTCAAGAATTAACTGTAATATAGAAATTTGTTCTGGCTGCATGTTTATTTAATTTCTATTATAAAACAAACATCAATTCTATAAATTTATGTCACACTGAAGTCCATTTCAGTATCTTTTCTTACTAAATCAGTCTAAAATGGCCTTTAATTCACCAAATCAATTAGGGAAAAACAAAAGGAAAAAGTTTGATTTGCTGCATTCTGCTTAAGAAGCAAATATTTTGTTCTCATCAATTTTAAATTAGTTGCTAACCTTATCAACAGATAGCACTATTAATTTTAAAGAAAATATTTTCTACTGCATGCATATTTATTTGCCAGTATGTTAGTTGCTATTAAGCTGTAAGAGATGTAACTAACATTACTTAGTGTCTCTCTATTATTTCATGTCAAAACATTTCAACTGAAATGTGACTGTTTTGAAATATAGTGAGGATAAGCACTCTTGTTTTGCTTTCTGAGCAGAATGTGATAAACTGTATATTTTAATCATATCTTCTGTTTTTCTTTAACTGATATTTTTTTTTTTTTTTTAAATTGTCAGTCAGTTTTGGGCAACCTGCGAATGGTTTTTCAAATAAAATAGCTTATTCTCTTTAAACAATGAATATTAGTCATTTGGAAAGTCCCAAATTTTGTAAATAGCCATATGCTTTGGATAAAAACCATAGCTTTGATTTTTATCCGAACATTTGTTAAATATAATCACAACCCGGCCACCAGCATATAGTTGTTTAAATATGAAGGTTGATAATTGTTTTTTAACTCAATTAAATGTGAAGGTCATAGCAAAGGTTGACTTTACACTCAAGATTCACTAGTGGAAATGAAAATGATGACATTCAGTAATTATTTCTAAATTTAAGTAGTAGTGATTGTCAATATTCTCCTGAAAATTTTGTCAATCATAATGAATTACCTGCTCATTTTGAAGGTGAAGGACACTTCAAGACCTGTTGCCATTTCCTCATTTATAGAAGAGAATTGTGTGGAAGAAATTTGTAATATTATAAGTGCTATATGCACTCTAAAAGAAATTTCTGTTATATTTAAAACAAACAGAATTTATTCTTAAAAATTCATGTTTTATAGTTATATTTATCCATCATAAAGCCACTTATGCTGCTAGTGTCATATTTTAAGTTGCAGTAACTGCTTTGACAAATGTAGTGATTGCGTTGTAAAATAGAGTAATGTAATTTGACTTTTTTAAAAAAATGTTTTGTGTTGATATCTCTCATTTTATAAGAAATGATTTTCAATTCCATTCTAAAATGTTTTCTCTATGTGTTACCCTCATAGATGTTAGTTCAGGGTGCATAGCATTTTTAAAAAGTGCCTAAAGGTGCTTATTTTCGATTTTTAAAATCCCTTAAAGGTGCTTTTTTCATTGGGTGTTCTTAAAAAGTGCTTAATTTTTCCTTTACCCTGTTGATTTTCGCAGCGTATTATGCAAAAATGCACTTCATATTGTTCTATTTGATGTTTTCGCAATTAATTCAACTCCAATCTATTTTGGCGTACCGTCGGACCTTAGCATATGAAAACGTCATTTGTTTTATGATTCACAATTTCATGATTTTTGACAACTGTCAAAACTATGCCAAGAGTTGTTTTTTTTTTACATGACTATTAAATTCGGATAAAACCGTCAATAGTCAAAAACTTGCCAACCCTGCCTAATTATAATTTTTAATAAGTGCTTAAAAATATTTTTGAGTGCTTGAAAAGTGCTTATTTTTTGTTGAAAAATTTGGCTATGGAGATCAGATTTCAGCTATTTTTATTACAAGAAATTATTTCAACCCTATATAATTTCAGTAATAAAAAATTTATTTAATTGTATGTAACATAGATTATGACTTTTACATAGTTCTTGTTTCATTTCCAGGCTTTAGATGTTGTTGAAAGCGTTGGATATCTAATAATGGTGAATTATTCCAAGAAAAAGAGATCTCAAGAAGAAATCTTATACTAGTCTAAGGAGAAAAATTAGTTAATTTAAAAACCAAGTGCCTTGGTGCGCCACAAGTGTTCTATTTAATGTCCAGTAATATTAAAATACTATTTGGAGAAAAAGCAAAGTCATTGCTTCTTTATGACTGGCTTATCCCTTCTAGTTAATATAGAATTGTTCAAAGTATACTAGCTTTATTTAAAAAAATCTACATGAGCTCTCTAGATAATATATTTACACCAAATCAACCAAATATATAAATGCATTCCTTTTATTTTGGTGCCATGCAGATTGCTTTATTTTTCTGTTGCTTATTTTGTAAAGTAGATCTAGTTTGTTTATCTAGAGCTGGTATTTTCCACTTTGCCAAATAGCTTTAAGCAGAAAAACTCCTATTTAATTGTTGTTTTAGTTAGAATTCTATTTTTACTAAAATATTTTATTTTTGTTATCAGAACTAACATTGCTTTTTAAACTGTGTTTTAAATTTTTCACTTATTGGAAGTACTTTAACAATCACCAGCATTTGCTAGTACAGTTGAATCTTTATTATCCAAGCTAATCTCACCTCCTGAAATTCTATTGGCTGATAAGATCAAAAATATGATAGTCTTAATGTAAAAATAAACATTGAATAAATAAAAATAGAACTAGAGAGAAAAACTATGTATAAAACATTTAGTTTTGCTCAAAGGATCACATCAAAATATTTCACTTTTGAAATTAAAATCTAGAACTGTGATATAAATAAGCTTAGCGTATTTGATATATTAATTTGTTTCTTTTTACTCATAATAAAAAAAAATTGATAGTTTAGATTCTTAAATTTCCTTCAGCCTATTTTTTAATAATTCAACGTTAGCCATTTTTCTTTTTTCAAGTGTAAAAAGTAATTGAAGGCATTATGGAGTGTTAATTGTAAATGTAATTGAAATTTATAATAATATCAGTTTTGCCAGTTCAGAATATCTTGAACTTTATTTTTCAGAAAAGTTCTTAACACAATAAATGAACTCTTGATTTAACTTTGTTGCCCCCCCCCCACGCACACACATAAAAAGCAGCTACAGAATGCAGTGGACTGCATTCTTCTCTAGCTAACCATGTGTCCAGATTATAAACTAGTAAAATCGAAATTCAAGATTACAACTTATGTTAATTCTTTCTTTTGTATTAATTAAATTATTAATACCCTATTGTAAAATGATTCTAGATTTCACATAATCTTTTCATCAAGGTTTGCATAAATTTGATCCTCTAAGATTATTTTATTAAGGGTGTCCAAGTTTAAATATATCGTATAATTTGAGTACAACCAAAATATAATATTAATTTTATGTTAAATAAATTTTTAATTTTTTTACTAAATACAATTATTAAGTTATAGTATTTAAGTGATGAACTTAAAGAAAAAAATGAAACTTAATTGATAAAAGTCAAGAAAGATCAAAGGCTCCCTCAATATCAAGACCAATTGAAGCAGAAATAAACTTATGATCTTTGAATGAGCCACATGTGCTACAGTTTGATTAGCTAACTAAAAAAAGATTGTACTGCAAGAGTGCTGATGATTGTAAAAGACTTTAAGGCAAAACTATTCACTAGCACAATTTTTTATTGATAGTGCATCAGAATGTATTTATTTGTTTGGCTATTACTGATATTGTATAGTATTTTACTCTACATAATCCATACAATTTAAAAATATTTTTGCCTGATAAAATAACGGACATATATTTTATCACATACTCTTAATTATTGTGCCTATTTGCATGTCCACTTCTAAACTGCCAGGACTGTAGGAGTTCTTATCACAAAGAGTGTGTATATTTTTTGGTACTCATTCCTTCTGAATTATCAGTTAAATTGAGGTGATAAAAAAAATCAAAGTGCTTGATGATGTCTTGTGTGCTACAAATTAAAACTTCTTGTGTATTTAAAAAACAGTCATTGACTTAATTTTTAAAAAATACTGTCTCATAGTCATATCTAATCATCAGAAAGTCACAAATGTTACCTGTAAAATTTTGTTTCATGGAAGGGTACGTTGCACATTAAATTTTTTGTCTTAAGAAATTCTTATCTGTTTTTATAAATTGGTGCTTTAGTTGAAAAGGTTCAATTTTGATTTTGTTCGGAATTCATTTGTTTGCATTATTGTATCATCTGCGTGTCATTGTGTTTTTGTATTCAAATCGGGGAGAAATTGTGTTCAAAATGTTAGCAATTAAAAGCAGCATTGATTGCAAAAGTAAAATTTTTTATTGGATTCTGAAATAACTTCATAGAGTGCTTAAGTTGTTAAAAACTATTATAAATTGTATAAAAATGTTGAAAACATATTATAAAATTTTAAATACCTTCCTAATTTTTTGAACATTTTAGTTTGATAAAAAGTATTATTTCGAATTAAATGAACTATTTTTTAATAATTTATTCTAATTATTTTAAATAGTGTAAATTAATGGAATACATTTTCTTCTGTAATATAATATTTAAAAAATTGGAGCCCTGTTATGTATAATGCAGGAGATCTTATTTTACTTCTGTAAATGTGCACATACTATAGAAGTTTTTGGTATTGTGAAATTAAAGAATGCCTTGTATGTAATTGTACTTAGAAATTGCTCAGGGTTTTTGTTTGTTAAAAAATAACTATTTTTGTAGTTCTTGCTCAAATCAAAATTTAGCTTAAAATTCAAAAGAATTTTGTTATTAATGTCATCTAAGATTTTATGTTGATAATGTGTGACTGTTTCATTGTAACTGTTTGCTTGGGTATCATTTTTATTTCTAGTTGGAACAAAATTTCAAATAAAAATGTGCTTAATTTCATTTTATATTAAATTTGAGCTTTTGAAATTTTCTACCATTTTATCTAGTCAATTTGAATTAACTTTTTAAACAGTCATTAATTAAGAAAATATTTTTAATTAATATTTTGTTATTAAGGTTTTGCTTATGCAATTTAGGTAGAGGTATGCTAACCTGTTTTTTTTGGGGGGGTGGGGTTCATTTTTTACTCATTTTAAATTTGCACATTTCAATTTTCACAATTTTTTGCATTTTTAGACTTAAGAAAATTCTCTTTACTCCCAAACTCTTTTCAAATTAAAAATTCTTTAAAAAGCTCTATTATATTTTGTTGTATTAATCTGCTAACCTTCACAAAATGCTCTATTCTATTTCTGCAAATTCTAACTTATGCTGGTAATATCTATCATCATGTTATTTAAATCTTCATATCGTAATATGAAGTTTTAAAAAATTTTAAGATATTAGCATTGGTTTCAATAACTTTCAAAATTATTTTTTAAATATTTAAATTCTTTGTCAGTTTACAATTTTTTCAGCAAGCTAGTAAAATTAAGTTAATTATCATTAATGTGAGTAAGTTTAAATTTACTATCTTAAAGTTAAAATTACCACTTTGTTTTTTTAAATGTTTTTAGATGTCATTTAACATGTTCTGCCAAACTTTTAAACTAAATAATGGCATTTGAATTATTAAGAGTTTTGAATTAGTTTTCCTGCTTTGCTGAACATTTTTTTTCTAGCTCTAATGATATAGCAGATATATAAAATTAAAAACCTAACATTTCATATGCATTTACCTTTTTGATCAAACTTATGTGTAAATCAAAGTTGGCGTGTTACTTATGTATTAAATGTTGATTACATTCCTAAAAAAAGTCTCTTGCACAATACTTTTTGTATATTTTTACATTTAATTTGTGATTTTTAAAAAATAATGTATTAAAAAATGTTTAGAGATCATGAAGGTGGAGAACTACATTCCATTTAAATTACTAATTCTGAATGCTGTAAAGCTTATTTTTCTGTGAACTGTTTAAAATATTTATATATATACATATAAAGTTATAAAATATATTATACAATAGTGCCTTTGTGCGTTTAAACTTAAAGAAATATGCAACTACACAAAAATTTAAAATAAATTATCTATTAATCCCGTATATATATATATTGTTGATTATATCTGACTCAACTGTGTGTTATTGATAAAAATTTTACTAGTTGTTCACCTCTTACTTCACGTTTGGATTGTACGTGTTTACTGCCTTAAATTGATGAAATATCAATCAATTATAACCAGCATCAAGAAGCTTAGTGTTTCAGGTTTAAATTAGTTAATGTAACCTGTAGAATATAAGTTTTATGCTCTTTGCTTACAATATTTTTGTCTATTTTAGTTAGTGTTTTAATTATGAAAGCTTGGTTTTCTAATTAATTTAAACAGCTTTCATTTTTTTATACATGTATGTAGTTTTTTTATTTATTTATACATTCCTTTCTGTAGAATGTCAGTGCTGGGGCATATTTTTACAGTGTGACTTATGCTGTGTACAGATGTACACTTTCTTTTTACAAAATTTTGTTTTTAGATGTTTTTTTTTTAGAATTCCAATTATTGTTTTCTGAACAGCTTGTGTGCTGATTTACATTCCATTCAAATGTTTCTTAATAGTTCAATTGTGAATGAATGATTTCAGTACATGTTGTGTGAGCAGACTGAATGCAATAAAAGCGAGGGAAAAAAATATAGTATGTCTTTCTTTTTTATCCTTCTCAACTTTGGGCAGACTCAAATGTCGAAGGAAAATATAGATTTTTGTTTTCAAACTATTACTTCATTCAAATATTCTTAAGAATATGTAAAGAGTTACTGTAACACTTATTAAATGTGTTGTCAACCGAGCAGCTTTGTTATTAATTATTTAATATCGAGAAGTGTGATATGAGTTCACAAAAATTAGCTAGGTTGCTCCCAATAGGTTTTTTCAACAAAATAATAATAATAATTTTTTTCATTGACTAAGTTTATATAAAAAATTTAATTATATTTGTGAAGAAACTTTTTACATTGCTTGAAGAACACTTTATTTAAATTAAAAGGTTTAAAACAGTCTACTATTTTCCTATCTCTTTTAACACTGGAATGGTGGTAGGAGGTACACTTTAATAAAAATTCCTTTTATAACCCTAAGTACCCGTTTAATACTCCGAGTGACATAGACAAATAACCCATGAGAAAAATTCAGTGATAAGCCTTCTTCAATTGCATTTATGAAGTTGTTCATTTGTTAGCTTTTTTCCACTCATTTGAATAAAATATGCAAAGAAAGCAGGTACAGGGTTTTTCTATACTTGTTTTTTATTTTTTTATTTTACAGACGTATTTCCCATTTGCTACTTTTACAGTTCAGATAAGTTGAGATTTAACATCAGTATATATATAAATTCTTCAACAAAGTATTATCTTACCCTTATGCTGTGAATCATATGGTAAAATATAGACTATCTTTTGCTGATATCTTTTTGTTTACTGATATATTTTTAAATTTTACAAAATTTGCTCTATAAGTGAAAAAGTCTTACTGACAAAGAAATCAAAAAATTGTTGCAAGAGCTCCCTGAAAATTAGTCTGATGGAGGTGATAGTGATAATTTGTCTGTGGACACTGAAGAGAAATTCCAGACATGCACCATTAGTGACTCGAAAAGCAATGAGGTTAACGGAGAACAAAACACCAGAAATAAATGTGCAAGAAAGGATAAGGTTATTTACAAAACTGTTTGCACATCTGATAACACCATATGGAATGAAATAAATTCAGCCTGGGCCATGTTCCGCTTTTAATGCTTAATTATATATGTCCTGAAAGAAAGAACAAGACCAACATCTTTTGGTAATACTCGTTTATTAGAAGACAAAGTGTCTAGTGCATTCAAGCTTTTCATTGATGATGCTATCTTGTTGCAAATAAAGAGATGTGCAGAATCGGAAGCACATCAGCAACTTGGACATAAAAACTGGAGTTAATCGCTTGTTTTATCCCTATACTATATGTTCGAGGAGCAAAAGGTTTAGATTTATATTCGTTATGGTCTGAGGCATGGAGAATACAACTTTGTAAAGAAGTTATTTCAAGAGATATACAAAAAAGAAATTTGGATTAGATGAAAAAACCGCCAAGATCTACTTGATTACAGACTAAATAAACATCACAAATATGGAAGTTTATTGAAAACTATAAAGCATGCTAATAGCCTTGGGCAAAATATTACAGCTGATAAACAGTTATTCCCATTGAAAGCTAGATGTAAATTTACATAATAGATGCCTGATAAATTTGAAGTAAAATTTTACTTGTCAGTTGATATGTCAGTTAATCAGAAAAGTCCATCAATAGGAGAGGTTTTGTACTAAAACTAGGTCAGCAGTTAATAATAGTACTTAAGGTTTTAAAAATCTTTTCAATCTTCAGAAAACACACGAAATAGAAAAGTGTCAAGTGCAGAGATACAAGATTCCTGATGTCTCTATAACAGATAATTTGGAAATAAGCATTTAACACAGAATTTTGAATAGTACAGTAGGTATCTAATTCGTGTAGGTGCGCTCTATAACATAATAAGCTTAAAGTGACTGTGTATATTTCTGCAATTAAAGCATTTAGCTTCTCTGAAGGGAAAAAAAAAACATTTTTTTTAATGTTTGCCAACTCTGGCTTAAAAGTGGGTCCCAACAAAATTGAGTAAATCTTTCAGATTCACTTAAAACAGAAATATAAAACACAAATAATTTTTGTAAGAAACAAAAAAATTTTGAGGAATTTGTTAACTCTTAAAATAAAACATGAGACAGATTTTAAAAAAATATATTTTATTTGATTTAGCAATGAGAAGAAATGAAAATTTGTGAAATGATGCATAGATTACAGGTATGGCCAGACTTCTATTGTCGCTCTCCAATGGTGACACCTCTAACTGAAAGATAATCTATAAAAAGAAAAAAGAGACTTTTTACAAAATCAAAGCATATAAAGTAACATATTTAATGTAGCTATAGTGACAAATGTTAATTTTTCACAATAAAAAACTTACACATAATATTTCACCAAGCATCATTTTGAAAATAAAAATCCTATTTAATAGATAATTTTCTCCCCTGTGGAAGAAGCGTGACATCCCAGTATGGGACACTCATTAAATTTCACTACACAATCTCATAATATTTAGTCAACATCCCTTCCAACTTGTGTGATACAGTTAATTTGCAGTATCAATCACTAAAGCAAAGCTTTGCATAAAAATATTTTGAATAAGTAATAAACATTCTGCCACAAAACTCCTTCTGAAAATCTAACGATGCCATTACCGACTTTGGAAGAAGAACTTTTGTTCCAAAAAGAACTTACTTAGAAATAGTGTTCTAAGCAACATTGAAGGAAGAGTTTTGATAGCTCAAAATTAACAGTTGTTGAGGTATCGATTACATACACTGTATCATAAATCGTCAGAATTTTATAGCCCCTTTAGTTTCCCCACATAGAAGATTGGACAGAAAAAAATCAGTTAAGTTGGAATTACAAAATATAAAAATTAAGGACTATTTTGCCTCTAAATTTAAGGATGCTGATTCTTTAATGGGAACAATTTCTGTACAATTTANAATTAACAGTTGTTGAGGTATCGATTACATACGCTGTATCATAAATCGTCAGAATTTTATAGCCCCTTTAGTTTCCCCACATAGAAGATTGGACAGAAAAAAATCAGTTAAGTTGGAATTACAAAATATAAAAATTAAGGACTATTTTGCCTCTAAATTTAAGGATGCTGATTCTTTAATGGGAACAATTTCTGTACAATTTAGACAGGGATTTGCAGATGCCAAAATGGCTGTTGTTTTCGTAGTTCCAGCACTTAAGTGAAAAAATAAACATTAAGAAAACTAATTGCAATATAATAGTGTTCGGAGGGGGAGATACATAAGAGCTTTCTATATATTTCTCCAATATGGAATGTTTCCATGCCATTAAATCAAACAAGGGTAATTGTCTCTAATAACAGAAGTAGATTAATATCATACCTTATCTTTCTTCTACAATTTTTGGCAAATTTGATGCGTTATAACACTTATTTTGTTAATTTAGTAGCTTTCTGAGACGCTCTATACCTTGGGAGAAAAAAGCATCTAGCTAAACACATTGACATATAGACGAAAAACGAAAATTATTTGTTGCTATGGGGCAACAAAATTGACTTTTTGCACAATTGGGCCAAAATTGAGCTTTTTGCTCAATGAATAGCATTAGTTTTGGAGCAGGTTGTAGCAATTTCGGGAGAGAAATGGTATTTTGGAGCAATTTTAACAGCTGTTCTAACCCTGAGCTTATTAATTGATATGCAGGAAAAGTATAGTCAGTTACATCACGAAGAAGACAAGCTAAGTAGCTTACCATTTTTCGCTTTCTTTCGATCAGAATTCAATTTGTTTTCCCCAGTTCGATCCAACGTTAGAACTATTTAAGTTAGTTACGAGTCATGTCAGGATGAAAGAACGAATCTTCAAGTGCTAGAATACATTAGTGACATTAATCTTTATGCCAGTAAATATTTGGCTTTAGCTTAAACTATGTTAAAAAAATACACAAATACAACAAGTAATGATACATGTATGTGTTCACTACAAAAACCTAAGCCTTCTTTTTAGTTTTTGAAATAAGTTGTAAAATAAAAAGAAAATTTTCATATAAGATAGAGATCAATTAATGAACTTCAATCAGAACTTGTTTACACTTAAAATACTTTTGCAAAATCATTGAAAAGCATAGATGTAGAAACAAAAAAAAGTTTTTTTTTAATGTATTACACAAGTATGGATAGTAAAGCACCCACAGAGGAAAGTGTTACCTTCTTTCCAATGGGACACCTCGTTCTCATAGAACTATTTCCATTTTTCTTTTCGAAATCAAAAAAAAAAGTAGCCACCAATTGGTGCTCTTACTCTAATCTTAATAAGGAATGTAATCTTAAGCAATGAATTTTTTAGTTTTTATCATTTGAATATTGCCTCAAATCGTCTAATCGAGAGAGGGGGACATAGGTGATTGAGATAGTTAAAAAACACCCACAGAAAAATTCAAAATAACTGGAAAAAAAAATACTTGTACTTACTTACATACTTGTACTTACTTACATACTTGTACTTACTTCTGTTTATTAGTATTACACATAGTTGATTCAGCGAGATGTGAGATTTCGGATAAAGATATCAAAATAGGAATCTTTCAAATTAGATTTAGTAACTTTAATAGAGTTATCTTATACTTAAAATTATAAAAAAAAACTTGATTGTTTATAGATTAAACGCTTTGGATTTGGCGAAATATCATTACATAAATGTAACTTTTTAAAACGCCATTTTCTTTAAAAAGAAAATTTAATATAATTCAACATTTAGTGATTTATTCTGCATTAGGCATAGGCTAATTGTGTCTTTAGCGAGGATAGTCACTGTGAAATTTTTAAAGATTAATTTTATTATTATCAGTTATATTTTGACATATACATTTTAGATCATGGAAGTTCACGTAGAGCATGGTAGTTTCACATACAAGTTCATATAATTAAAAGAAACTGTGTTTTTCATTGACATGCAGATAAATTAAATAAAAAGTAACTTTTTAAATGCCATTTTCTCGAAACTTCATTTTTTATCACTCGCAACTCCCATCTCTGATTTCCATAAAATAA